CCTGGGCAGGGAAGGAATCTATTACATTTATATTCGGCCACGATATTTGAATCCTGCAGCTCCTTAAAGACCAACAAGATTTCCAGGGTCTAAGCTTTCGAGAGTCAAAACTTCCTTTCATTAGAAGAGGAGGAGTTTGGATTTATACAACACCCTTCACTACCCGAAGGAGTCTCAGAGCGGCTTACAATCTCTTTTCGCTTCCCCTCCCCTCAACAGACACCCTGTGAGGTAGGTAGGGCTGAGAGAGCTCTTGCTCCTAAGAGAACAGCTCTGAAATAACTTGTAACTGACCCAAGGTCACACCAGCAGCTGCATGTGGAGGAGTGGGGAATCAAAACCAGTTATCCCAGATTACAGTTCATGCTCCTAACCACTACAACTAAATGGGCTCCAGACAAAAAGGGTCTCTGACGAAGGGAGCTTTGACTCTCAAAAGCTTATACCCTGGAACCTTTGTTGGTCTTTAAGGGGCTATGGGACTCAAATCCCACTGTTCTACTGCAAGCCAACATGGCCACCTGTCTGAAATATTTTTAATCTGTGTCTCTTCCAAGGAGATCAGAGCAACATACATGGCTTCCCACTCTTCCAAGTTATTATCAGAACCAGACTGAGAAGCTGGATAGGTTATGAGAGAGGGACTGGCCCTAGATTATCCTAGTCAGTTTTGTGGCTGAGCAGGGTTTTGAAAATGGGTTTTGCTGGTGTAGTAATCTAACCACTACACCGTGCTGTCTCTCTGCCAAACAGTAGTCTCCTGCATGCCACCTGGATCCCCAGCCTAGATATAGCTCTGGCTGGCCCAATCTCATCAGATCTCAGAAGCTAAGAAGAAGAGATTCGGTTTATACCCCACCCTTCACTCGGAGTCTCAGAGCGTCTTACAAACTCCTTTCCCTGCCCCTCCCCACAACAGACTCCCTGTGAGGTAGGTGGGGCTGAGAGAACTCTTGACAGAAACTGCTCTTTTTCAAGAACAACTCTTATCAGAACTACGGCTTGCCCAAGGGCATCCAGCAGCTGCAAGTGGAGGAGTGGGGAATCAAACCCGGTTCTCCCAGATTAGAATCCACACACTTAACCACTACACCAAACTGGCAGGGTCAGCCTTGGCTAGTATTTGGATGGGAGACCTCCAAGAAATACCAGTCTCGAGACACAGAGGCAGTCAATGGCAAATCACCTCTGAATGTCTCTTGGCTTGAAAACCCTGTGGGGTTGGCATAAGTTAGCTGTGACTTGACGGCACTTTCCACTATCGCCATGCCAACCAGGGGAAGCACCACATACCACCTCAACTCTCAGTGCAGCCAGACAGAACAGCTGCCTCAGGAAGCACTTTGAGAAGGCAGGAGGCAAATGGCAGTTTTCCCCTAGCACTTGCTTTGTAACAGGGTACACAAAACAGATAGAAGCCCTAATAGGTCAGACTAGCCCTATCACATCAGAATGTGAAATGACCACCAAAGTAGTCCAGGGTTGCTATGCAGAAGAAGGCAATGGCAACCCATCTCTTTTCACCTCTTGCTTTGAAAACTTCATGGTATCATCATGAGTCAGTTGCAACTTGAGAGCACTCTTTACCCTTTATATACAAGGGAATTTTCATGGTTCTCAAAGCAAGAAGCAGGAAAACCAAAAAGGGCTATAGTTTTGGGGAGCAGAAATCAGTTCACTTTCTTCACCTTTGTCAGGCAGATAGTGTGATTATTTCACTCTGAATGTGTGTATGAGACCTGTGTATCACATGTACGTATCAAAAATATACCTATTCGACTTCTGGTCTATGGCGACATACAGGCAAACGCATCTCCCGGACGCCCCAGGGATGCAAACTGCACCCCAGCGTGTAGGAGGGGGTGCAACGGGTCGCGACCCCCCCGGAGCCTTGGTAAAAGGCTCCTAGCCAGGGGGCTTTTGAGGGGTGACCTCTTCGACAGCACGATGCCGGAGAATTGAGGCGCTCCTCCGCCCCGAAGGTCCTGCCGCTGAGTGACCGTATGGTACGAGTGCTGCTGACCGGGACAAGCATTGGAGATCGGGCGGGGGGGAACACCCGATGCCGAGCGAGGCCAGTTGGCCAACAATAAACTGTGAGTCGGGCTGAAGTGAGCATGAAGATTTTTAAAGAAAGCTGTCCCCCTTAAAGAGGAACGGGATGCGAGCGGGGGAGGGCCCCCTCCCAAACACATAAACGAAAACACGGAATAAAGAGGGGGGAGCAGAAAAATAAGCATTTGAAACTGCTTTAAGAGACTTACCAGAGCGCAGACAAGCATTTGGACGAATATCAGAGACTTTAGCAACTTTTTGATATAAGTAAACAAATCCAAAAAGATGGCAGGGAAGAAACCGGAGAAAGAAAAACTTTTGAAAGCGAAACGAGTCCTCAAACGGAAGAGACCACTGAGCTTTCAAAAATGTTGGCAGATTCCTTGCACCCTCTGCTGGATGAGATGACTAATATCAAGCAGCAACTGTCAACAATTGGCCAGAGTTTGGCTTCACAGCAGCTACAATTGACTCAATCTTTAAAAGCAACTGAGCAAATGGGGGAGAAAGTGAAGGAAATGGACGCCAATACCAAAAAGGTTAAGAAAAAGGTGCAAAAGCTGGAAATGAAGGAAGCTATGGAAAAGTCACAACTTTTGCAGCTGCAAATGGAGAAAGCCAATTTGGTCCTACGATTTCAAGGCTCCCGGAAATTAAAGGAGAGAATCTGAAGCAATGGCTGAGTGAAGCAATAGCCCCAATGACAGATTTGACAGCGGAATACCTCTACAGCGAGATGGATGTGGTCTATAGGTCCTATTCCTCATATATCAAGAAAAATAATCTGCCTGGGGAAATAGTAGTCAGATTCTCAAAGAGACATGTGAGAGATTCTATTTTGAAAGCAACTACGGGAACTCCCTTGAAAATTGGGGACAGCAACATCAGGATTTTAAAAGATATTCCATTTGACATAAGACAGAAGAGAAAGAATTATAAAGAACTAATCCTTTTTCTACAAACAAATGGCATCAGTTACAGATGGTTAATCCCAGAAGCGTCATTTTCAAACTTCACGATAAAAAAGAAAAGATTGACTCTGTTCTTAAGGCACGTGATTTTCTGCAAACACAGCTTGTGGAACCAGCTGAGGACGAGAAGGAAGAAGAAGAAAGCAAATCTGATGGCGAGTTAGGCTCGGGGTCTTCAACGAGGACTCACCCTCTGAAAAGGGGGCGGTTGCCCCCAAAAGTTCATACAAATTGAGGATGAGAAAAAAGAAGAATAAATAGTGGCTGAAGGAATCTGATTTGTGCCGGAAAACTCTGAAATAATTTTGGGATTCTCGGGGGGTTTCTTTAAGCAGTTAAATGAATAGTTAAAAGATAACTAACCTAGCATAACTGACTATGTTCATTGTTTTATTAGCTTTTTAAAGTAACATTGAGTTAAGCTGATGTATTGATCTCCTACTCTTGGGTTTTTAGTTATTAGTGGGTCTTTTTTCTTTCTCCTTAGATGTTGTTCCCCTTCCCATATTTTCGGTTGTAGTTTGTAAAAAATCAATTAAAAAATCCCCTTGGGGGGATTATATATATATATATGCCTATTCAATATTTATACCCTGCTTTGCTCCCCAATGGGAACCCAAGCCAGTTTACAACATTGTTCTCCACTCCTCCTTTCATTCTTCTAATAACCTGTGAGGTAGGGGAGGCTGAGTGACTGGCCCAAGGTCACCCTGAGGGGCTTCCATGGTAGAACAGGGATTTGAACTTGGGCTAGTCTCAGGCTGCAATCACACACACTAAATAATCCACTTTCAATGTACTTTCCAACTGGATTTTACTATGTCAACTGGCAAAATCCTGTTGGAAAGTGAATTATTTGGTGTGTGTGATCGCAGCCTGGCACTAACCACAATGCCACACCAGCTGTATATAAAACTGCCCTGTCTTTATGTCCAAATTTGTTGCAGTGTGTGTGGGAAATCAATAATGATGTTGCAAACAAACTGGGTGGTAGAACACTGAAGGTTAAGAACCACTAGTTTATCCAAAAAGGATAGGCAATTTGTTTTACATGATTTTCTGCTGTATGGCAACCTGAAGCTCAACCCGAGAAGCCAGTATGGAGGTCTGTCAGACTAGAACCTTGCAGATCGAGGTCTGAATCTCCACTCTGCCATGGAAGCTTGATGAGTAACTTTGACCTAGTCACACGCCCTCGTGCTAAACAACCTCACAGGGTTGTGATGAGGAGAGAGTGGAGAATGATGTAAGCTGCTTTGGTCCCCAATGAGGAGAAAGGCAGGGTACAAATGATGTAAATAGATGAAGAAGCTTCCTAGACCAAGAATCTAGGCCTGCACCACCCCGCATCCAAGACTGTGGAGCTTTCCCCACCCTGGAAAGACCTGCCTGGCACCATCATTTCACATTTTTGAAAGCTACCTGAAACAATCCCTTTCCACGGTGTTACCCCGGATACACTTTCCTGGGAGCAAGGGTCATTGAACAGACCTGGGTAGGATTCTTAGCAGACCTGCTTAGCATTGCTCTCTCATTTCCTTTAACAAGAGGGCATCCTCAGGATCATGCCATACAACTGTGCCTTAACTGCGAAGAGATATACTTTTGCTTTTAAGACGTGGTGACAGGCCTCATGGATTGCGTAAAATAACACTAACTGCGCCATCTGACTGATGTCAGCTCAGCACAACAGCATTTCCTCCCTCAGACAGCAGGAAAAACAGGAAATAAACTAAACTCAAAGGAAGTGCTTGTAAATGGGATCAGATTACCCTTTGATTACCCTTAACAAGAATGTTAAGAAATTTCTTAATACTAAAGTTACACGAGCTGTTGCCATGCTGATCCCAAGGATCCAGATAGTTTCGAATTAATCTTGCCCAAAGAAGGTTTGCCCACAGCTCAGCAGCTGGCTGCTCTAACACCAGAGTGTGTAAAGAGGAACTCAAAAGCAGTACAACACTAACATCCCCCTTTTTTTTATTTGGAACCACCAAAAAACAAGCCACCTATCACTCTGAAGCCAACCAAATCAGCCAGATTTTTCTAATTCAAGATGTCTCTCTTCACTGGTCAAAGCTTTCTGAAGCTCCTCAGTCAGTAAAGCCAGTGTGTTCACATCAGCCTTTTAGGATCAATTTTCTCTAAGTGTACTAAAGGCTTCAGCTGTTCAGCGAAACTCCGCATGTCATCCGAAACCATGTCCTGTCCTGCTGGTGCTACAACACTCAGCTCCACAAGGTAAGAGAGAGACAAGGGTTCAGTGTTATCGGTGCTGCCTGAAATCAAGATCCGGAAGATCTTGTACACCACAATTTTCATAATGCCCTTACGAAACACATGGCCCTTGGCCACAAACTCATGGTCCATGCGGAATCCCATCTCCACCAGGAAATCTGTCAGGTTTTCAGAGGTGGCAATGTCCACACAGTTGCGCACCAAAGCGTGGCGGTTTTTGTCTCCCATTTCTGGCTGCCCGAGATACCGCAAGTGCCAAGGGGTGCCAGGTTTGTCCATGGAGCGGCGTGTACGCAGGACAAAGGGGCTGGCTTGCTGCCCCTTCAGGAGGAACACCATCTCGTGATCCAGAAAGGTCTCTGGTTCCATGTTGTCACACAAGCCACGGAGCCGATGAAGCAGACTCTCCAGACTTTGGTCCAGAACACTCCCTACAAAGCAAGGGAAGACACTGATAGGTGCACATGCACATTAAGAAAAGCAAAACGTCCCTCTGTGTCATCCTGCCACCTGACAGATCGTGAGACCAAATGCTCATTGAAAACCCAAAGCATTATACAAACATCCCTAAGTAGAGCATTCACTCAAGGGCCACCAAGATCTTCAAAAGAGATTGCATTCACATTGCTCCTTAGCACTAAGAGACATTTCACACATTTCATTTACCAGCATGCATGGAAACCCAAAGCGCAAGATACCTCTTTGAAAACACGTGCATCAAAAAGGTACATTCAACAAAGAGCTGGGACTGGCTACGGCTCATCTCAAGTTTTTACACTATGAGAAACTTGGGTCTACCACTACAAAACACGTGAAACAGGCTGATCCTGCTTGATCATTGTCTTCCGCAAGTGGGTGAAGACTTTTCTTCTTAATCTGGCATTCCCTTACTGATGCTCCTTCTTGCTTTCAAATTGCTGGTTTTATGGTTTTTTATATACATACGCACATTGTTTTAAAACCCTGCTGCTCCTTCTTGGTTTTAAATTGCTGGATACACACACACACTGTTTTAAAACCCTGACCTGGATGGCCCAGGCAAGACTGATCTTGTCAGATCTTAAAAGCTAAGCAGGGTTAGCCCTGATTAGGACTTGGATGGGAGACCACTGAGAAAGTCCAGGGTTACTACAGCAGAGGCAGGCAATGGCAAACCATCTTCATTTGGCTCTTGCTTTGAAAACCCGAAGGGGTCATTGTAAGTCAGCTGAGACTTGACAGCACTTCACATACACTAGTTTAAAGTTGATTGAATGTCTTTTAAACTATTGCTTGCTATCACAATGTCCCTACTTGGGTGGAAAAGCAGGATACAAATGTTTTAAATAAATATTGACAGGTCAGACTTGTTCCATCTATGGAAGAAATGCATCTGTGTTCCAAGTAGAACCATGTGAAATTAACCCCTTGCTATGGTAATAATCCTACAGATTTATCCACATTCATCCGTTTAAACAAAACAGAAATCCAACCTTATAGAGTAACATTTACTCTAGTGAACTGAGCTCTGACTCATGAAAACTTACAGTGGAATAAATTTTGCACACCCTTAAATGTGACTTCTGTTTTACTATATTTAATAGTAAACTGGCTGGTCCTTGTGTGGATGGCCAAGCTGCTTATGTACAAAGCTTGGGCCTCTAAAAACTTAAGAAAATTCTTCATGTATACAGAAAAGTATGACCAAAGGACACAACTTTTTTTTTTAATCCCAATGAAGACAAAACTTCTGCCAAAAGGGGCTGAATGCTGAGAACAGCAGTGTTAGTAAAAAAGGGGGAGGGGGAACATGTGCAGGAGAAATTGGAAGCATCTGATTGCTTAGAGAATCCTGGAAGAAAAACTGAGGCACCGAAACTTCCTCCCTTCCCCATGATTCTTATAAACCCCCAGAATATCAAATGTAAAAAAATTTCAACTGAATTCTTGCCTTCAGTTTACCTTGGAGTAAATATTCCATCATGTTAATGGTACCGCCAGTGACCGGCATCATAGTGACAGGAGGGGCCTCCATGGTATCACCTGTTCTTGAAGAAACAGGAAAATAATCAATAGGTTCCTCTTGCTGCTGCTTCACAGCTGCAGGAAAAGAAAATCCTGCTGTTCAGACAAGATAATAAAATCGACTCAGTTTTTAAAATTGTTACATAGTGGTTAGAGTGTTGAGCTGGGACTGATTTCAAATCACCAAATCACAATTACACTTATCATGAGCCAGTCATTGTCTATCTCAGTCTAGTATACCTCAGAGCTTGACAAATCCCCGGTTCCACGTTGACACAGTCCCCAGAAATTTCACTGCAGCACCTAATTTTTGTTTGTGGTGGTAACAGCTAGAAAACACAGTTGTACATAACTTTGAAGGCTGAAGTATGGGTCTGTCTCCTAAAATTTTTAGATGGCTTCCACAGCCAAAGAAAATCTTTCAAGGCCCAGTCTACCTCACAGGGCTGTTGGACAGATAATACAAAAGACAGCAGAACCAAGGACAGAATAACAAATCATAGAAGGATTACAGATATGAGCCTTCTAAGCAACCCTTGGTGCAAATGGGACGGACTCATTTACTACTTATGAATTGGCCACCCTGCAAGCAGGCTCTGGCCAATTTACAACATTACAGACATTTAAAATACAATTAATATATACTTAAGATTACTACAAATAAAACAAGAGATTGAAACCAATCAAAATTGGCAATAAAGTAATCCTCCTTTGTCATGTGGGAGCCACAACTTGCCTTAAGTTGCACAGTGTTCCCTCTAAGATGAGTTAGTGTGAGCTAGTTCATAGTTTTTTAGCCTCCGGCTCACACATTTTTATCTTAGCTCAGGAAGGATGGCCCCAGAACAAACTAATCTACGCAGTAGCCAAATCACTCGCTCACAGCTGTAATGCCAATAGCTCACAGAGTAGAATTTTGCTCACAAGACTCCACAGCTTAGAGGGAGCATTGAAACATCAACGTCTAGATGAGACAAGCTTGGGGAGAAATCCTGCCTGCCTCAAGAAGGGCTGTGGTCTTAAAAAAACTAAACTGTAGATGCCTTTTTGAATCTAGAACAGACCATCAGTGTAGTCCCTAAACCCCGGGCTCGATTACGATAAACAGGCCAAATTCTCTCGTCTAGAGTCGGCTGCAAGAGGCACTAAAGCCGGAGGATGTCCCCGCGACCTACGGAAACGGAGAAGAAATTCCTACGAAAATAAACTCACGTTATCCGTTTACCAGCAAAAGCACCCTCCGCTGCCCGGCCTCCGACGCGCTTCCCACCTACCCCCTTCCCGGACAAAACGCGCATGCGCTTTCTCCTACTTGAATCTTACGGCGCGGCCATCTTTTTACCTCTGACGTCAGTTTACGGAAAGCGTCAGTTTAACGTTTCTACGCTTTCGCCTATGAAGGGGGAAATGGCGCTTTGCAGGAAAGTCGCTTCTCTGTCGGGGGAGCCGTGTTGTCCCGTGACGTTGAATTTATGTGCCACGAAAAACCTTTGGCTTTTAAATCGTTTTGACTGTTAAAAACGTGTTACGCGTCGTAAGTGCGGGAGAGGTCGTACAAATGTTCACGTATGTAGAAAAGAAAGGAGGAACTAGTTAATTATCGTGTAGCTTTAGCGGTTTGCTTTATTGTGAAGTGAAGGTTCCCTTGCTCGAAAGCCAGTCGAATCCGACTCTAGGGTTGCGGTGCTCATCTCTGTTTCAAAGCCGAAGAGCCAACGCTGTCCGAAGACGTTTCCGTGGTCATGTGGCCGGCATGACTAAACACCAAGGCGCAAGGAACGCTGTTACCTTCCCACCGAAGTGGTACCTATTTATCTACTTGCAATTTCTTGCTTTCGAACTGCTAGGTTGGCAGGAGCTGGAACTAGAGACGGGAGCTCGACCCGGGTCTCGAACTGCTGAACTACCGACCTTCCACAGCCTGCAGTTCAGCGTCTTAACCACTTGAGCCACCGCAGCTCCATTTGCTTTATTGTATCATTATATAATTTGATTCCAGCTTTTCAAATTAGTAGTATTTGTCATTCCTTTTAAAAAAAAAAAAAACTCAACCCCAAGGAGATCCAAGCCAGCCAAACATGCTCCTTTCCTCTCATCCTCATGACAGTCCTGCAAGGCTGAAAGAAAATGACTGGTTGGTGAGCTTCAAGGCAAAAAAAGGATTTCGAATTCAGATCTCTGTGCTCTTAGCCTGACCACCCCAACTAATACCTGGAGCTTGTTATGGGCATTAAGATGCAATGTAATTTAACCAGTATGGGACAGACCATAATGTCCTGTTCTGCCTAGGGGAAGTAATGTGGCACAGTGACAGAAGATCCCAGATTCTGTCTCTGATATCTCTAGTTAAAATGATCAGGTAGGGGGTATGTGAAAGACCTCAGCCTGAGATCTTGAAGAGCCCTTGCTGAGTGAAGTAGAGGAAGTACTGATAGGTGGATTTTATTATTTGTGGACCATTTATAGCCCACATATAGCCCTAAAGTGGCTTACAACATTCTCCTCCTTTACCTTCATATACCAATTATCTGACTTAGTATAAGGCAGCTTTTGTGTGTCCAATATTTGACATGTTTTTATGGGGATGGGCTGCAACTCAGTACTGGAGCATCTGCTTCCTACACAAAAAGTCCCAGGTTCAATCCCTAGCATCTCCAGTTAAAAGGCTCAGATAGCAGATGATCTGAAAGGTGCCCATTGCAGATCAGAGCAGATAGTCTATCAAGATCAGCAATAATGTCCGACTTGGTAGAGGGATACTTCATTCTTGCTTGCCATCCTGAACTCTCAACTGATACAAGAGAGAAAGACCCTGCTTTTTTTAGTGCAAAACAGTGACTAAAACCCAAGTGTTGTTAATATTGGCAGCAGTAAACTGGCAGCCCGCAATTGCCATTTTTTGCTTTCTCGGGCCATAAGAGCCAGCTGAACTTGCAGTTCCCTGGACTGCAACCCGTGGAGTGGGTGAGACTGAGTAACCTGCATCCTAACAAACAAATGTGATTAACAAATTGCATGGAATGTACCCTGACAGAAGAACCTGGAAGTTGTGAAAGGGGGCAGATAATTTCTATAGCAGTTTACAAAGTGCTGTGCAATTATTTTCCTTCCTTGTTTATGCTCACCACTGCACTGTAAAGTGTACAAGGCCGAAGTTCTGGAGAACTCTAGATAGCAAGAGTATCTTTTAGTTAGGGTTGTTTGGACCTCTTTAGCCCCTGTAATTTTGGGGGGAGCGGCTGAAGTGGGTGGAGTTTCTGTTCTGTTGTTGATTGATTGTGTTCAGAGAGAATAAATTAATCAAGTGGTTAAGAGGCTGAACTTCAGGCTGTGGAAGGTCAGTAGTTCAGCAGTTTGAGACCCGAGTGTGCCGCATGACAGAGTGAGCTCCCGTCTTTAGTTCCAGCTCCTGCCAACCTAGCAGTTCGAAAGCAAGAAATTGCAAGTAGATAAATAGGTACCAGGGTGGGAAGGTAACAGCGTTCCGTGCGCCTTGGTGTTTAGTCATGCTGGCCACATGACCACGGAAATGTCTTCGGACAGCGCTGGCTCTTCAGCTTTGAAACGGAGATGAGCACCGCAACCCTAGAGTCGGATTCGACTGGCTTTCGAGCAAGGGAACCTTTACCTTTACGACTGGCATAGTCGACTGTCCACGGCCATTGACGTGATCGCTTCCTGGCGCCCTCTGCACCCTCGCTCTAGGCTTGCCCCCTGGTACAACGAGGGGTTGCGGCTGATGAAGCAAGAGCTAAGACGGTTAGAGAGACGGTGGCGCCGAGCCCGCGACGAGGCTACAAGAGCATCCTATAGGACGTTTATGAGATCCTATGAGATGGCAGTCAAGGCTGCAAAGAGGGATTTCTACGCAGCCAGGGTTGCGTCCGCTAGCTCTCGCCCAGCCCAATTATTTAGAACAATTCGGTCTTTGATGGCTCTGCCACAGGGCAGACAGAATGGTAGGGGATATTGGCTGTGAGGCTTTTGCGAGCTATTTTGCGGATAAAGTCTTGACACTCCACCGCGACCTCCCCGCCACAGTTGAAACAGTTAGCGAACTCGAGGCCCCTTGCGCATCTTCGAGTCCGGGTTTAGAGTGTTTCGACCAGCTCAGTCTGGAAGAAGTCGACAGATTGCTCGTATCTGTACATCCAACCACATGTGGCCTTGATCCGTGCCCCTCCTGGCTCATTAAAGCGGGCCACGAGGAGTTTCGAGGTGCCTTGAGGGAGATTGTCAACAAGTCCCTCTCAGAGGGGTGATTCCCCGAGGCACTCAAGGAAGCGATGGTCCGCCCTCTCCTGAAAAATACAACTTTGGATCCGGCTGAATTGGCTAACTATCGGTCAGGGGCTCAATGGCTTGCCTCGTTTCTCCAAGGTCGGGGACAGAGGGTAGTGCTAGGGGAATAGCAGTCCCGGAGGCATCCGCTTGAATGTGGGGTGCCTCAGAGGGCGGTGCTTTCCCCGATGCTATTTAACATATATGCGCGCCCCCTCGCCCAGATTGCCTGGAGGTATGGGCTGGGATGTCATCAATACGCAGATGACACCCAGCTCTATCTGATGTTGGGCGGCTGATCAGACTCCAACCTAGAAGATCTGCACCGGACTCTACAAGCTGTGGCTGGGTGGCTCAGACTGAGCAGGCTGAAATTAAACCCGGCAAAGACGGAAGTCCTGTGCTTGAGTCGGACCAGATCGGGATTAGGGCTCCCGCTTCCGACCTTCGATGGGGCACCTTTGGTGCCAGCTTTGGAGGTTAGGAGCCTGGGAGTGCTCCTGGACGCCACCTTAACAATGGAGGTCCAGGTGGCGGCCACTGCCAGATCAGCCTTTTATCATCTTCAGCTGGTACGGCAGTTGGTTCCTTTCCTGGACCGCAACAACCTAGCTACAGTGATCCATGTGACGGTCACCTCGAGGCTAGACTACTGTAACGTTCTCTACATGGGGCTGCCTCTGTCGCAAATCTGGAAGCTGAAGCTGGTGCAGAATGCTGCGGCCAGGTTG